TCTATACGTCCACTTCCTATTATTGATTTAGTGGAGTCATCTGCTAAGCTTATGCTTCCTCCACGTGATTCCTGATAATTTGAAAACCAAGAGCGGTCATTACAGACGTGGATATTTGCTCCGGAATCCAAATACCAATCAGTGGAAGAAGTTAGAGAATTTACAAGATGGGATGAAGAGGCTAACCTGAAGGAGGTTGGATTCATTTTAATCATATTAACTTTGTTGGATCCATTTCCTTTAGGGGCAGGTTTGGCCGGTTCCTTCTTCCGAAAGAAACAGTTGTGAGCCATGTGGTTGGTTCTACCACAGACAAAGCAGAACTTCTCATCAGACTTATGGCTGGAAGAATTGGGATTTGGTTTTGTTGAAAGATTGTTGGTTTTTCTTGAATTTCTTCCCTTTGGGTTTAAAATTCTTAGATTTAGGCTTATCCTCTACCAAGTTTACTTTAGCTTTTGTTTCATTCTTGGTATTGGAGTTTTGCCTATGCTGGTCTTCAGTACGAATAGCCTTGAGGGCTTCAGTTAAAGTTAGATCTCATTGCTTGTGTCGGAGATCTCCAGCAAATCTAGACCAGGAGGGAGGAAGTTTATCAATCAAACAGGAAACTTTATAATCGTCAGTAAAAGTGTTTCCTTTTGATTGGAGATGACGGAGGAAATCTAGGAATTCATGAATTTGATCATTAATGGGCTTGTCATCAACCATTGTGAACTTATTGAAGGAGGAGGAGGTGAACCGCAGAATTCCGGCATCATCATAGCCATATTCTGCTTCAAGAGCATTCCATAGGTCTTTTGCACTTTTGAACTCATAATATATGTCATAAAGGTTGTCCGCAAGTATACTAAGAATCCTATGACAACAATGATAGTTGATTTCTTCTGGTTTCATAGAGCTAGAAAAGGAGCTAGCACCAGAACCAGAAGTGGAAGGAGCAGGTTGAGCAGGATCAGGAGTCAAAGGTTGAGAACCACTAGTAGATGACTCAGAAGTGTCAATAGCAGATAAAAGACCTAAGGTAGTAAGCCAGTATTTCATCTGATTAGCCCACCGTTTATAGTTAACACCGGTGAACTTCTCAGGTTTGACACTTTTTGAATGATCAGGAATTGCCATAAGTCCAATTTAAGTTTACTAGTCTAGGTAGATGTAATCTGATATAAAAAAGGATTTTGTCAATATTACTAGACCAGAAACTTAATTAAACCTGCTCTTAACCAAAAACTCTAAAAGTGAAAAGATTAAAGTTTTACTCGGGTAGTTTGGCCAGGTAAGGATAGTACTAGAGGTTGATCAATGATCGATTAAGTACCTCGTTTCTTGCAGAGCGCTTTACGCAACCCTTAAACCTTTCCTTAGACACCAACTAATCCAAGAAAACTTGAACCGGTTCACTTAAAGATTTTTTGTTTATGACAGATACTGAATTTGAGCACAGAAGTAGCAAAGAAATAATATTTTTTTTAACTAATTTAGATGCAACAAATTAAAACAATTAACTAATACAACAAATATATAAAATTCGGGTGAACAGTAATCACGATGAACAGTAAATTTTTTTTTATTTATATATATATATATATATATATTTTTTCTAATTAACTTAACATCAAGAATTATTACTTAATCTTCTAGATTGCTGTCAAAACAAGAATATCCTCTGCACTCGGGCGTGAGTCACAGAGCTTATGCTCAGACGAAAACGGTTGCCCAAAGAATAGAAAATATGTAGCCGAATTTTTTCTTGGAGGTATAAGAGTAGAGAAGAGAAGAGAGTGTAGAGATTTTCCTCTTCGTTGGTGTGTTTCTGAATGAGCTCTAAGCCTCCTTTTATAGGTGATGAACGGTGTAACCCCCGCTGAATCCAAGGGACCGTTACGCACGGTTATTGCTTCCGTTACCCGCATGCAGCCGTTACAAAATGTGTAAAACGTGCAAAAATAAAGGCTTGAGAAGCAAAAAGGTGTGCGTGTGCGGCTGCCTGCGGGCGTGGCGCGGCGTACGTGCGCGCGTGTGGTAGAAACGCAAAGCCCACAAAACCCAAAACACTATTCAAAGCCCAATAAGGAGAGAACAATTATACCCTTTACTATTCATCTTATTTTCCGATGTGGGACTATTCACAAAGGCAAAATTGCCTTTTCATGAACAAAGCTTCCAACAGAGAATACATGAGTATTTATAGATCTCACAGGTAGTGACATATTAGGTTGTAATAAACAATGGTGATAGGAAATTATATCCTGTCAAAGGTGAGCACAGTCAGCAAAGATGGAACTTTTTTCCACCTCCCCCCTCTCTCTTTTTCTAAACAGCTGTATAAACTCTTTTTGACTAATGTGGGCATTCTCACCTCATGTTTACCTTTTGAGCTTAAAATCTTCTGTGGGGGTAGTTCGAATTGTGAATAAAAAGATTTGTTCTCACGTCCTTCTTATTATATGTGAATGGTTTACTGTCTGAAAACTGGACATTTCCAAAGCGTAACAAACAGTAGTTTGCAAGTATTTGCATATTTTTTTTTTGGGGGGTGTAGTTCTGATAACTTCTTCTGAACCCTTGAAAAATGAACGAACGCTGGTCTGGTTCAAAATTTTTATTCATTCTTAATAACGCAATAATTAGTGCCTCATTGACATTCTGTGAGGGCGTTGAGGCACCCCCACGAAATGAAACTGTGGTGGTATTCATGAATCTAAAATCACGTCAAGGATTGGGACCTTGTCCAGCCCTGTTCCAATTATTGAAGGACAAAGGACGCACGCAAGTCAAATTTATTGAAGGACGAAGAACGCATACAAGTCAAAGGAGTTGTAGCCCTTGTAGAATAAAGTACACAGTAAATCAACTATAGTTTATGCTTCTTGAATGAGCTTGCATACGTCGGCAGGTGGTGCATTTATCATTTAAGTCAATCGTATGTCTCTTCAGCACGTGCTTTTAATTATTTGCCTTCTTTTCTAACTTCAATTCGTGGTCCATTTTTTCCAAAGAAATTAAAAAGGAAACATTAATGGTTATAAACGGTCGTCTGTTTGTAGAATCAGAACTTACTCCTAGATTCCATTATTACCAAACAAGGATAATTCAAAATTTAGGTGTTTAACCGCTTTTTTCACTCTGAGTAAAACTTTCGAACCATTCATTTGGACCGTGATTCATCAGCTCTCCTAATGGATAATAATATTAAACCACCCACTTATAGAAGTGATTCTAATAGGATTTGCATTCTCTCTTTCCGCTTAGCGCTAAATTAAATAAAATGAAAACCTCATTTCCAGTTCTAATTGATTATTATCTTTCTATCCCGTGAATTTTACCGGTTCATGCATTTGAAGAGCTGCTGTTTGGGGTTTTTTTTTTTTTTTTTACCCCCAAAAGGAAAACTGCCTAAGAGACCGGGTTATTGTTTATATGCCAAGTAAAAGGGGGAAAGGATAGAATTCTCGATTTATACATTTATCTTCAACCCTTCATGCTCTGCACTGGTTCTCGGATTCTCATCTCTTGACACACCATGTGTCCAATGTAGTCCATGAAATTGCATGATTCTAAAAAAAAAAAAAGGTAAATTATAGTAAACCCTCATGAACTTTCACCGCTTTGCAGTAAACCCGTATGAACTTTCAAAATCACACTAAACCCCTAATAACTTTTGCAGAAAACCCCCCAGTATCTTTTCGGTAACTTACACTGAAGCCCCAGTAACTTTCAAAATGACTTTTATGTTGTTTTCTTGCTCGAACTTGTGGGGGTTATTTGCAAAATGTAAAAAGATATAGCGGGTTCTCTGCAAAATAGAAAAGTCGGTAAGGTTTAGTATGATTTTGAAAGTTCATAGGCCATTACTGTAAAATGGTGAAAGTTCATTCGGGTTTAGTATAACTTTCCCTTCTAGAACATATTACTTTTCGTGCAGTATACAACCAAAAACGCCTAAATTAGATTTGTCTCTTGAACTTTGCAATTATAAAGTGCTAGTTCCTCTCAACTCTTTCGTGGAAAAATGGTCATAAGATTTTGATGAAGGTTATTTTCTCTTCCTTTTTGACCCTTCATCGATTTTTAGTCCGGGGGCGGGAGGGGGGGCGGGCGGATCAAGCTTCCACAAGTTAATTAACAACGAAAGCTACATGTTAGTAGAACACCGCGACGATCTCGACCGGCGGGCGATCGACTTAATTAAGTATATAATCTGATACAAATTAATAAACAAAGCAAAATAAAATTAAGACAATGCAGGCATGAAACAACTTGTGCCAACAAAAGAGTCAAAGGTTTCACACGGTTGGGTTAAATTGTTTTCCCCCCACCATTTTTTTTTTTTAAATTGGTGGTGTTTTTCTCCCGAGTGAGGATGACATTTATTTTAGTTTAGTGGTTATTATCATGCGAGGCTAACCGCCGTCGATGTTGAATATTTTCTTACACAAGTTTCTTGTTTGTACCTTAAACTACGTGACCATTTAATATATGTATAACTAAATTTTATTAGATGTAGATTTGTCTTGATCAAGAATTTTGTGTTGACGTATAGTCACAAATCCTATCAAAACTCCATACACGTGATTGGGTCCCTAATTGCCCCCCTCTAATTCTCATGAATGCACACATCACCAATCAGGTGTGAGATAGCGTGCAACTGGTTGTAAGTTTTGGTCAATTTTCTCAATGTTGTGAGGTGTTTGATAATCAAAAAATAAATGGAAAACAGAACAAAGAGTTGTTCAGATGACAAACCATATGACTGACTCATAATCTATTGGTTGATCGTCTCAAATGTGGCCCTAAGTGTTGGGAAATAACCGAGGCTACACTAAACCCCTATAACAACAAGAAATGCAGTATAAAGAAAATTCACTAAGATTTACGAACTTCAACAAACTTGTCTACGTCCTCGGGTGCCACACAATTAATTTCTTATTTATCAAAAGAAATTACAAAGCAAGAGCAAATCTCAAACTGAGATCTCTCAATAAATGAAAGTTGGTTACTATAGCTACAGTAATAATTCCTCTTTAATTCCCCAAAAATCACTGCTGAGGGCTGAAAGAGAGGGGGGAGAGAGAGAGAGAGAGAGAGAGAGGAGCAAGAACGCCACCGCCAGGAGAGAGAAGAGAGCGCGAGAGGGAGAAAAAGCACACAGGAGAGCGAGCTCCGATATACCATCCGACACAGATGCGAAACCCAATAACTCGATAAGCCTCATCTACCGCCCTTTGACTTCATCATCATCGTCATTTTCTTCACCGAGTTGGATAGTAGATAAATTCACAAGCCATATAGCTAATCGTCTGCAAGTGTAAACAAAGACGCCCATGATTTACTCGGGAAATATTACATTATCAATTTCACATAAAGCTTCAATCTTGGAGTTGCTTACTCTCTTAGGTTCACTATTTTTGCCTCCAATGGTGGTGGAGATGATGTGTCCTGTTACCGGATCATTAGACTCCGTCATAGTCTGCTCCTGTAAAAATAAAAATGAAAAAAGTTGGTATTTACAAATCTGCATAAATAACAGATCTTTGCTCTTAAACTCATAGAACCTATTAAGGGAAAGAAAAGGGGCAAGCTTCGAAACAAAGAAAACATCAAAAGAAAGCTTTTTTTTTAGCTTAGATATTGCAGATCCAACAAGAAATGGAATCCCTAGATCAGAACAAGGAACGAATCTTACTCCCTCAAATCATGGTTGACGGAGAGGTAGAGGACGTGGATATAACGGGGAGTAGGACGCGGTTGGGATCAGTGGTGGGGAGGCGGTCGGATAAGTGGACCCCGTGGTAGACGAGGGGACGAGGGCGCGGTGGGCGAGGGAGCGGTCGGAGATGAAGATGGTGGGCCAATCGGGTTGTGGTCTCCATGGAAAAAAAGGACAGGCAGAGAAGGAGAATGAGAAGAAGAAGAAGAGGGGTAGTTTGGGGTTTTTTGGATTTTTTTTCTCTTGGGAAGGGGAAATAGGGTTGGATCACATCTTGGGAAGTGTAAGTGGGGATAATACACATTAGAAAAACTACAGAGGGCAGTAACACATATAGATTCCATTTTTGGGACCTTGAAGCAATTTTCCCTTTAATATATTTATAACTAAATTTTATTAGATGTAGATTTGTCTTGATCAAGAATTTTGTGTTGACGTATAGTCACAAATCCTATCAAAACTCCATACACGTGATTGGGTCCCTAATTGCCCCCTCTAATTCTCATGATCGAATGCACACATCACCAATCACGTGTGAGATAGCGTGCAACTGGATGGAAGTTTTGGTCAATTTTCTCAATATCGTGAGGAGTTTGATAATCAAAAAATAAATGGAAAACAGAACAAAGAGTTGTTCAGATGACAAACCATATGACTGACTCATAATCTATTGGTTGATCATCTCAAATGTGGCCCTAAGTGGTCAGATAATCCCACTGGTAGATTGGAGTTTCATGCGGGGGTTTTCACGTGATTTAAATGATTATGATGTAAGAATGACTTTTTTTTTTTTAAGGATAAGAGAGGATCATAACTAATCTCTCATAATGCCAGAGTTATGAGGAGAAGGAAAAAAAATATTGATTCAAATGTCCCCGGTTATGGCGATAGGGGCGGACGGAGATGCATGAGCTGGGGTGCAGTTGCGTGCGCCTAGGGGTGCATTCGGTCCGGATACGGCTCGGATATGATGCTTATCATTTTCATATCCACTTATCCATTTCGGATACGGATATAAACATGGATATATCTCGATAAGAAAAATTTATAACTACATCCGCTAAAATCGGATACGGTGATGGATATACATGCGGATATATAAGCGGATATGCATGTGGATACAAAACAGATATGAGAAAACTAGATAATATTGAGAAAAACATAGCTCATGTGATACAAAAGAGTTTGTTAATATGTCCATTCTAACTGAAAAGTTAAGATTAGACACCTTGATCATCAAAATTAACCACAAATTCATAATCTAAGAATCGAAACAATCGTAAGACTATGACTAATATGTATTCGGATATTTCGGATATGAATACAGATATTTCACTACAAAACCATATCCATAACCATATCCTATCGGTTATAGATTTGAGTAACCATATTCGTATCTTAACGGATATGGTTACGAATATTTCCTCGGATACGGATAGGGTTTAGCACCTCTACGTGGGCCCCTAACAGTTTGCAAGTTGCATTTGAGCCCTTCTAATATATACAATCTGACAAAAAAATTCTAAAATTTGCACCCCAACCTGATGGGACGCAAAAATTGACGTTGCGAAAGACTTTGATCAAAGGAGTTGTTTGGGATTTGATATGGGTTCTCTGTTGAAAACTTACGAAACAACCGGAAATATTTTAAGATTGGTTGGGTTCAGAGGCTTGAGGAAGAGGAAGGTTATTATCGCTCGTGTAGATGCACGTGCAAGAGGCATAAAACTTTGTTTAATAAACTCCTATATCTCAAAATGCATCATAGATTCAACTATAATTATAAAGCGATGATATTTTTGTTAGTCTAAGTGTGTAGACCCAAAGCTGCAATCGAAAAGACGAAGAAAACAGTCAGAAGACTGTGTGCAAGAGGCATAAAACTTTGTTTAATAAACTCCTATATCTCAAAATGCATCATAGATTCAACTATAATTATAAAGCGATGATATTTTTGTTAGTCTAAGTGTGTAGACCCAAAGCTGCAATCGAAAAGACGAAGAAAACAGTCAGAAGACTGTGCGGTCGACCGCAGTGGCAGAGCCGGTCGACCGCGTGCACTGCAGGAGACTGAGAAGAAGTTTTCGCTCTGGTCGGTCGACCGGCGTGGCCGCTGCGGTCGACCGCAAATGTGCACAGGACCCTGTAAACAGATTTTTCTCTGGCCGGTCGACCGGCCTTGCGGGGGCGGCCGCCCGCGAATCGCCCAGACAGTTTCCTAAACTGTTTGGGACTCTGTTTTGTTTCAGGATTCTATAAATACCCAAACGTTTTTAGGGTTTGTAAGACATCAAAAAGAGAGCTTTTTGGCTGCAAAGAGAGAGAGAATCTCAGAGAGATTTACCCCTTGTTTGAGAGCTTGTATTTTCTTCTTCAATTAATAGAAAGATTGTGTGGTGTGGCTCCCGAGGACGTAGGCACGTTGCCGAACCTCGTTAAATCTGTGTGTTCGTCTCTTTTACTGTTTTTACAAGGTTAGATCTTTATTTGTGGTTTATTCCTACTTTCCTACTTTCAACACAAGGTCCGGAAGGGCAAGGGTTCGATTGATTGTTTCGAATCCCCAACAACTGGTATCAGAGCTTCGTTCAGCAATTTGTGTGAAAGCCATGGCAGAGGAAAGCAAATCAAAGATTGAGAAGTTCGACGGATCGGATTTCGCCTACTGGAAGTCGCAGATGGAGGACTATCTGTACCAGAAGGACTTGTATCGCCCGCTTCTGGGCAAGGAAAAGGGAAAGAAGACGACGGAGTCAGATGGTGATTGGGAGGTACTGGATAGGAAGGCTCTAGGGCAAATCCGGTTGTCGCTCGCCAAATCAGTAGCCCACAATATTCTGAAGGAGAAGACGACGGTGGGGCTTATGGAAGCGCTCGCGAAGATGTACGAGCAACCGTCGGCAGCAAACAAGGTGCATCTAGTCAAAACTCTTTTCAACCTCAAGATGGCAGAAGGACGGTCCTTCACGATGCACCTCAGCGAGTTCAACACGATTGTTGATCAACTTATCTCCGTGGACATCACGTTCGATGACGAAGTGCAGGCCCTTCTACTACTATCGCAGTTGCCGGATAGTTGGGCAGGTTGTGTGACGGCAATCAGCAATTCGGCGGGGAAAGAGAAGTTGAAGCTGAATGAGGTTGTTAGCATGATTCTATCCGAGGAGGTTAGAAGGAAATCGTCCGAATCAGAAGGTTCAGGTTCAGCCCTAAGTTTCGAGCAGAGAGGCAGAAGCCAGAAGAAAGGGAACCAGAACAGGAATCGGTCGAAATCAGTGAAGAAGAGGCCGAACTCGAAGGTTAGGTCTATCAAAGGGAAGTGTTGGAACTGCGGCCAGGAGGGCCATATGTCTTCGGTCTGTAAAGCACCAAAGAAGGATGCGGGTGAGCAGGAGGCTCATATCGTGCAGGATGCCTTGATCCTTGCTATGGATAGCGATTCTGATTCTTGGGTCATCGACTCAGGAGCTTCTTTCCACGCCACTGCAAATAGGAAACTACTTCAGAACTATGTAGCAGGGGACTTTGGTAAAGTATACTTGGGGGATAATGAACCTTGCAATATTGTTGGAAAGGGCGACGTTCAGATACAGATAAAGGGCTCTAAGTGGAACTTGAAGAACGTGAGACACGTGCCGAAGCTGAAGAGGAATCTTGTTTCGGTGGGACAGCTTGGAGCAGAAGGCTACGTTTCGACATTCACCGGGGATTCGTGGAGGATCTCCAACGGTACGATGGTTGTTGCCAGAGGCAACAAAACGGGAACTCTCTACCTCACTTCACATGCGAGTGACACCCTCGCAATTGCAGCTGGCAAGGAGAGTACAGATCTGTGGCACAATAGGCTGGGGCACATGAGCGAGAAAGGGATGAAAATTCTACATTCACAAGGAAAGCTAACCGGGATCGACACCGTGGAAGTCGGGGTTTGTGAAGACTGCATCTTTGGGAAGCAGAAGAGGGTTAGTTTCCAGAAGGGTGGAAGGCCACCTAAGGCTCAGAAGCTAGAGTTGATTCATACAGATGTATGGGGCCCAGCCAGTGTGTCTTGGCTGTTCGAGATACTACGTCACCTTTATCGACGATCACTCGAGGAAGGTGTGGGTTTACTTCATGAAGCACAAGTCAGAGGTGTTCGAGATCTTCAAGAAGTGGAAGGCCATGGTCGAGAACGAGACAGAACTGAAGGTGAAGTGCTTGAGATCAGATAATGGTGGAGAATACGAGCTGGAGGAGTTCAAGAGGTTCTGTGCTACGAATGGGATTCGCTTAGAGAGGACTACTCCAGGGACGCCGCAGCAGAACGGCATTGCAGAGAGGATGAACAGGACCTTGACAGAGCGTGCGCGGAGCATGCGATTACATGCAGGTCTGCCTAAGACATTTTGGGCGGATGCGGTACATACAGCAGCTTACCTTATTAATCACGGGCCATCAGTTCCATTAGATTTTGGGATTCCAGAGGAGGTTTGGAGTGGAAAGAAGATAAATCTCTCACACTTGCGGGTATTTGGTTGCGTGGCTTATGTTCATATCAGTGACCATGTCAGGGACAAGCTAGAAGCTAAGTCACAGAAGTGCACATTCATTGGATACGGCATTGATGAGTTCGGGTATCGCCTTTGGGATGAGAAGAACAGGAAGATCATCAGGAGCCGGGATGTGATATTCAATGAGGAGGTGATGTACAAGGACAGGGACAATGCCAAGGATAGCCAAAGCAGTGGGAGCAGCACTACGGATACAGGTGGATCCGAGTACATGGATATAGAGGAACTTCCAGATAGGGGTGATGATGTTTGTTCTGACCGTAGAACAGGGGAGGCTCCAGGTGCAGAAGAAACTACCCAGGGCGTGGAGCTTAGGAGGTCATCCAGGGTACCCAAACCAAATCCCAAATACCTCTCGTCACTTGATTATCTACTCTTAACAGATAGCGGAGAGCCGGAGTGTTATGAAGAGGCAGTGCAAGTGAGTGAATCTCAGCAGTGGGAGCATGCGATGCAGGAGGAGATGGATTCTCTACTCACTAATGAGACATGGGAGTTAGCCCAGCTACCTGCGCAGAAGAAAGCCTTGC